AATCAGAGTGATATAAACTATTTATAGTGAAACCAGAAAGGAGGTGCTAATTTGTTTCAGTTTGTGTATTGCCGTCATGTGGTCTACAAAAAAATCTCCCCACAGACAAGACAAGCCTGATTCCTTCAACTTAAGCATAGCCTTTCTGGCCAGACAGCATTTGAGTCCGCTGTTCCGGTTCTAAAACACATCCGAAATTGCACAGTCCATCTCTCTCACTCCAGATATTGTGTGCAGGTACTTCTGAGCTAATTTGCAATTATTAGTACAATGCAGAGGAAGAGAGGGTTGTTGTGAGTTGGAAACGGGCTTTGATTTTCTTTTTTGTTTTGTCTTTCATTTAATTTACCATATGTTTCAGTGCAAGAATCAATGTTAAATGTTATCAGTCTGTTAACTGGCTGAACAAGGCAAAGTCAGAAGTATGTACAAATAGTCATAACATTTCATTACAAGAACTATGGACTCTGTATAAAGTAGGCACAGTTTACATCTGTGTGTTCACTTTAGTGAAGATGTCTCAGTAAACTTTTTTCAACTCTCCTTTGAGTACTGATTTAGGAACTGTGTTGTTGCTGTTTTTTACTTTAAGGCCATATTTTGCTCTGAAATATGTTAACAGTTTTATCAAGACAAAATGAGAAATCAATATTTTCTGGAAGAAACATATGGGATATCATAATTGATTGCTGTTACTATGAATTGCATGAAAATATGAAGCCAAGTGTCCACCCTCTGTTTCAAATAATCATAAATAATTCTATGTGTTTTTTGAAACAGGTTTTTTTGCCTCTTTAACAGCTGTAAACAACTGTATAGCTGCGGTGGTGAATGTAGCCCTTTGAAGAGTAATTAGAAAGATTATCCATGGCTTGAATACAAGCAAAAAATTAAAATGTGGAGTCTTCCCTACCTTCTTGCCATTTACAAAGAAGACCAGCTCATCCTTCTTTTCAGAAGAAGTCATCCTTTATGCCTCCCAAACTTCACCAAAGAGTAGTGGAAGGTCCCAGATCAAAATGTTTTGAGCTTCCCCAGCCCAGCACTGCAGCTGTCTAAGTTCTCAGGACAAGAAGCAATATGAGGAGCCCTCCAGAATCTCTAACCTTATTTTGACATTTGTGCCCTGTGAGAGTCCAGGTTATATAAGAGCTACCCAGAGGCGTGTCAGCTGCACTTGGCTGTGCCTTCCTGCTCTAATGATAGCACAGGAGAAACTGAAAAGAATAAAGTCACACCCCTTTCTGTGGCATGAGACTAGACTAAATCACTCCTTAATTACGATAGTGAGTGAGTAAAGAGAGAGACAGCTAGCCTTGACAAGAGAAAGTACTGCCAGCAACTGAAGCTCCTGCTCTTTCAAGTTTCAAGCACAGTGGTGCCTCGCTTAGCAAGCGCTTCGTTTAGCGACAAAATCACTTTGCGACAAATTTTTTTGCGATCGCAAAAGCGATCACTTTGCAGTGTTCCCTATGGGGTAGTTTCACTTTGCAATGATCGGTTCCCTGTTTCGGGGAACTGATCATCACAAAGTGACCATTTTCGCACAGCTGATTGGCGGTTTCAAAATGGCCTCTGGGTAAACAAAATGGCCACCCGCTGTTTTCTGGGACGGATTCCTCGCTTAAAAGGCACCGAAAATGGCCGTGCTATGGAGGGTCTTCGCTGAACAGTGAGTTTTAAGCCCCCAGTAATGCATTAATCAGGTTTTAATGCATTTCTATGGGCTTTTAAATATCGCATAGTGACGTTTTCGTTCAACAGCGATTTTTGCGGAACAAATTAACGTCACAATGCAAGGCACCACTGTAGATGGTTTACCTACCTGTTGTTTATTTCTACCATGATGGCTGCCACGTGCTACACCACCCGCTTCACTAGTAATAACATTTGTAATTGATCTTCCTAACTAAATATCTCGTTCCATGCTCATTGAATCATACAATTAGAAGATAAGGCTAGACATAGATAGCACCTTTTTTCAGAGTGAAAAGGGGACATAAACTAAAATTCAGTGATAAATCACAACTAGAGTAGACCCATTGAATCAATGGACCTTACACATCAATCCCCACTGATTCAGTGGGCCTTGTCTAGTTGTGACTTATTATTGAATTTCACCCTTTATCTGTCATATGAGCACTCCCCAGTTATCTTCTCTATTCATAGCTATGTATCCTTTTGTGTTGCTGTGAAATCCTGCAACCTGGTCTAGCAAACATGCATGCTCACAATGGGAAACAATGTTTCTGCTGTGTGACCTTCATCTTTGTTCAAATGTACTATACGTAGTATTCTGTCTCCAGACAAAATCTATTCTAACCATTCCATCAACTCTTTAGGGGCAAAGGGGTTCCTCATTTTTCCCTGGCAACATAATCTATTGGCCAACTAAGCTTTAAATCAGTGGTTCTTAACCTTGGGTTACTCAGGTGTTTTTGGACTGCAACTCCCAGAAGCCTTCACCACCAGCTGTGCTAGCTGGGGTTTCTGGGAGTTGCAGTTCAAAAACACCTGAGTAACCCCAGGTTAAGAACCACTGCTTTAAATGAAGACATTTTTTCCTGTTGCCCAATGGACAGTTAATCTGGAACGGATGGCTTTTTGTCTTTCCTCTGTGACTGTCATAAATCAGCTCCACCTGTCAGATTTCCAAGTCAAAAGCAACTCTGCGAAGATCTGGACCAAATTCAAATCACACTGGTTAAATTCAAGAGGGGGAAGAGAGTAAAGTGCAAAATATTATGGCACCTTACAGACTAATAAGTTGATTGGATATCTCAGTAAATCACTGAGTACCTGGTTGTAGAGCCAGAGGTCAGGAGTTCAGTTTTCTACTGTGTCTCCTGTAATCTCAGTGTAGTTCTTAATACTCCTGTAAACATTCCCTTATAAAAGAAGTATAATGCTACACATAATTAAACTCCATAGTCCTTGGCAGGATGATCTCAACACACCATCCAGAAAACATGTAAGGCCTCTTTTCTGACATGTCCCACTTCAAGCATTTGTTTATGCTTCAAGTGGGACATTTCAAGCATAAACTTTTTTGTGCTTGAAATGCACTTTACTTTTGGGGCTTTCAAAATTTTGAAGACTCTTCTTTCAGCTGCTTTGAGTTGTATCGTAGTTCGAAAGTAGGACAGCATCAAATTTAACAGCTTATAAAAACCATGACACTATCAATTTGGAAAGTTGGAAACTGCAGTTCAAAGCAGGTCATACTGCAAATTATCTAGGTTCATCATGCAATGAACAGTTCACTGGGTAAATGGAGCTTCTGTTCAAAGACACCCTTAGATGGTTGCCATTTCAGCCATGGCTTCCCTAATTCATAATTTTGCCATCCTGTAGAATCAAATTGAGTGATTCCTAGTTCAGGGGAATCTGGTGTCTGTTCTTCTAAAGCAGGGGTGGGCAATTAATTTCTATAGGGGGTCACATGAAAAATCTGAACTGTGTTCGGGGGCCGAACCAACTTTACTTAAAAATAAAATGAAACAGTGTTGTTATGATTGTTTTTATTTTAAACTTGTTAACCTTCACAAAACTAAAGAGTTTTTTTGCGGTATGTTAAAGATAAGCAACTGATCAACTTTAGACAAAAAGCTATAAATGGTTTTGATGTTCAAAACTGTCCACGGGCCAGATAGGAGCGGCTCGCAGGATGTATGTGGCCCTCGGGCCACACCTTGCCCAGGTCTGTTCTAAATATTGTCTAAACAAGGAAGAGTACAACTAACATATGAGATCGATCTGGGTGTATGGAAGAGGTTAGGGTTTTCTAAACAACCTCATATTTCCCAGGATCCCTGGATCAGGATTGTGCACTTCAAAACAAAAGTGGAAGATTCTTACACTCAAAAATGTTAATGTAAAGAGAGTGCCAGATTAGGAGAAAAAAACCTTTAAAAATACCTATGGACTTCTTGAGCTTCAAGGTTTTCTGTTATAGAGTGGTCATTTGCATTCATGTGAATACCATCCCCTCACAGAAAGGAAATACAAAGATGTATTATCTTAAGCAGACCTTGGCCCAAGGCTTTTACTGACCTAAGATGGTGAAAGGGAGAGTTTGAGATGGATCAACAAATGTAATAATATTAATGTTAGCCAGAATTGTACTTAACCATACTTCTGTTTCTGGCACAATAAAACATATTTAGGACTGTCCTGTCCAAGTTCACTGAGATAAAACTCCCATTATATTGAATTAACTAAACCTATTCCAAAATAAGTGTACATGAGAATGCAGTCTGAAAAGGCAGCCACATTTCAGACTTCCTTTATACCCGGCCATGCTCTTTAAATCCTTGGTTTTGTTCTTGAAATACTTTGTTATTGTAAGTTGATACAGATTTGGTATAAACACTGTTTAGGAATGCAGCAGCTTTAGTCTGCAGTGAATATACTATATTGTGTACATGTTTTGCTGTGTTTTTATGTTTTGGGGCTCCATTTTACTTCTCTGTTGCAGAAGGCATGTTACAATTGGTTTTTAAAAACGTGCTGTCAAATGCTGCTTTGCTGTTAAAACAGTCATGGCAACTGTCCAAGTGCTGAAACTTTTTCCCTCCATCAACAATGGGTTATATGATGCCGTTGTTACTGCTTATATAACAAATTCTAAGTGTTCGACACAATTCACAAAGACTGTATCAATGAGTTTTATGACAACCTTGTAAAGATGTGCCAGAGTTAAAACACTCCCACCCAAGAGATCAGTTTTGCTTGATCCATCTAGAGTTGTAGCTTATCCAGCATCCTATGTGCCACCAACCAGATCTTTCTAGGAAGCCTATAAGCAAGGGTTTCCAGGAAACATCTTTCCACTGTTGTCTGCCCCCAACTTCTTGTATTATTTGGAACCAATGCTCACAGTTTCTGGGGTTTTGCCATGTCACACAGTTGCATAAAAAACAAAGCAATCTCCACTCAAAAACAAAACACCAACAGCCTTGTGACACTTAATATATATATATTGTTTGGCATAAGCTTACCTGGATAGAAGCTTGTTACCATTGATGGTATGGGTAGGCATGAGACTTTTGTATTTCATAGAATTCCATTACCCAGAATTCACCAGGAATTCTCTTACCAGAAGTCTGGAGGCTCCAATCAAGAAATCAAAGTCCTCACAGGAGATTTCAATTACAAAGTGATTGAAGAGCCGTTTTATTCTAGTGAGAAAGAAAACAGAAAACAGAAATGGGAGTAGCTAAGCTCTGTGGGAGCCATGAGGAATTAGAGGACTAATAGTTTTTCTGAGAGGCACACCATATACAGTAGAGCCTAATATGCAGAGAGACTGTACTTCTCCTAATCCCTTGCAGTTTTCACAGAAGTTAGCCATCGTTGTCATCCATCTCCTCTGTCTTCTTCACAGGCTAATAGAGCCTTCATTCCTCACTTTTGCATAACTGAACATTCCTGTGAGGACTTCGATTTCTTGGCTACAGCCCCCAGAATTCTGGCTGAAGAATACCTGATGAGGGCTGCAGGTTGAAGTCCAAGAAATATGAAAATCTCATGCCCAGTAGAGGGTTAAAGTCCACGACAGCTTATTCCAAGTATTAAAAGTATTTAAAATGCCACAACGGTCACATAAAATCCAACAATCTTTGCTCAGAATTAAGTTCCACTGAATTCAGTAACAGGCTGTATGTTGAACTGGAATTCTCACCAACCCTAGCCAGCCTAGGTAATGGAACAACTGTCTAATCCAGCCACACACTTTGCCCACTCTGATGTAAGGGCTTGAAGACCTAAAACTTGTTCCAAGAAATAAATCTCATTGTTTTCTTTATGGGGTATTTACAAGTTAATGGATATAAGATTGCAGACTCCGTTTCTAAGAATGTTTACGTGTATTGGCTCGTGTTGCTTTCAAACAGACCTTGGGCTAAGTTACCAGTCAGTGGCCCCAAACTACCCTCACTTCTGCACCATTCCGATAGAAGATCATGTTGCACATGCCATGAACACCCACCACAATGTGCTGAATCAAGTTACTGGAGCTTAACAAATGCTGGAAATGCTCTAAAATGGAGAAATCCTAATCGATACATTATGATCCTATCCAATCATTGCTCCATTCTGGTGGTAAGAAATTACATGTATCAGCTTTGTGCTGGCTGCAACACTGGAGTTCTCTACATATAATTCACTGTTGGGAGGTTTGCCAGTGGAATGCCATAGAGCATGGGAAGTGGACACAGACTGTGGATTCAGTGGGTGCAGTCATTGCTCCATTCTTTGTGCTGGCTGCAACACTGGAATTCTCTACATATAATTCATTGCTGGGAGGTTTGCCAGTGGAATGCCATGGAGCATGGGAAATGGACACAGACTGTGGATTCAGTGGGTGCATATGGTTACAACATTGGGTACTGCAAGGCTCTCTGCTATGTCACATAATAGAATGCTGGACAGAAGGTTGTGTTCTGCAGTTTTGATAGTAAAGGAGCCCTTCCAGTAAAGGAACCCTTAATTCAATTAGACTTTCTCTGCAGAGAGAGGTTTTAATACTTTGCTTCTTAGAAACCTGCAGTACCTCAGCTACATTCTAGACACAGTTGCAATACTGAAAGACAGAGAAAGTGCTAAAGCGCAAAGGAGAACTTTGCCAAATAAAACATTCCAGGTCTGCTGCTTGCCGTGTGCCAACAAGTCAAACAGGTTGGACAGGCTGTCCATTATTTAATTCTCTTATGCTTTCTTTGCAAGCAAGGGCTGGGGATGTTTTATGCTTCCAGGTCCACCTTTTGTGCACACTCCTCTTCATGTTTGCTTTTCTCCTTGAAAGGATGTTGATGGAAATTAGCTAGATAAAACAGAGTTTTCCTTCTTGCTGCAAGATATGGCCCAATGAGGAGTCAAGGTGAAACAGCAGGTTGTGGACACCTTTATGGATGTCAACATAAGGGGGACACCTGAAGTATACAGACCAGAAAGGACTTCCCAATAAGCGTAACTAACATGAACCTCAGTTGCTACTTCTTTTATCAGTCTTTTTGAGTTGCAGTAATGCACCTACCCTCTTCTCAGATGTGGGATGTGCACCTTATGAAAGGGGTTGAGTGTGCCAGTGAAGTTGAGAGCAATGCTGTCAGGCGGCCAGACTTCATTACAAACCTGGAATCCTAGTAGGGTCACCCATGGTGGAATGAGACAACAGACTAAGATTAATTAACTCACTTCAAGGCAGCGACTGGGCAGCGGCAGTAGCTGAAGGTGACACTCAAGGAGGCAGCAGCGGTGACACTCAAGCTAACTTTTGTTAGTACTATGCAGAAGGTGGCAATGGTAAACGCCTGCTGAACTTTCCTTACCATGAAAGCTCTATGATGAGACAGTACAAAATGAATCAAGAGATAGTGCTGGAAGATGAGACAGAAGTGAAAGGAAAGTCGAATGCTACACAGCACATACAACTGGAACAGTAAATGTGAGAAGTATGACTCAAGGTAAACTGGAAATTGCAATGGCACGTATAAACGTTTTAGTGCTTTGTGTCAGTGAACTAAAGTGGACCGCAATGGGACATTTTTAGTCAGAAAACTACCATGTGTTCTAGTCTGGAAATGACAAATCCAGAAGAAATGGGGCAGCTATGATACTAAGTCAAGATGTAGCACAAATAGTTAGAGCAAGAAGGCAAGGTCTAACTGAATAATATCAATCAGACTCTGTGTTGAAAATGAAGTGCTTTATTTGCCCTGGCAGGTGAAAGGTGTAAGCGGAGATGATCTGAGGCTATACACAGGCACAAGTAATTTAAAGATTTATTTAAATCATAACAGATAAACAGGAAATATGATCCATGAAACAAAGACACAATATAAAAGAATTCAAAGGAAAAGCAATGAATTTCTAACAGTACAATGCAATGGTTAAATAAAAAGTACAAGGTAGAACAAACAGTATTAAAGTATCAGATGAAATTATAATTATGCAAAACTAGTCACAGTTAACCTTTTACAAAACATTTGCCATAGCCTTCCACCAGCCCTCTAGTTGAAGCTCACTATGCTCAAAGGTTTTTTGCCTAAAGATTGAAAAAGAAAGACATATAGCTACCTATTCCAAGGAGCAGGTCTCTGAAGACTCAGGGGAATGTGTAGGAGAATTGTATTGCAGCCCCTTTCTTTATTCTCAGAAAGTAAGTCATCCCTTTGTCCTAAGGCACATGATGTGACCACAGCATCTTATCAGGGTACACTCTGGGCCTGGAGCTACTGGAAGTATTCAACCTTGTAGCCTGTCCATACTGTTCCATTATCTTCCAGCTCAGCCTAAGCCTTGTTGCCACAGCAATGACGTATCTGTTTGTTTTTGTTTCTTGTTTGTTTTTTGTTTTTGTATTTTGCTCATTCCATCATGTAAAAGTCCAGGCTAGAAGGAGTTCTCAGCCTTTTTTATCAACAGCCTTTTTTATCAGCCTTTTTTATCAACAAGAAGCAATCATCATCATGTGAAAGTCCAGGCTAGAAAGAGTTCTCAGCCTTTTTTATCAACAAGAAGCAATCAATTGTGCTATTTATGTAACAAACCAAAGATTCCGTTGATGCAGTTTCATAGACCGACCATTACATGGCCATTAGTCCATTTCATAGCCCATATATTTGCAAGCCAGCCTAATCCACTTGTCCACATGCCTTTTACCTAGTGTACCATTAAACCTAAAAGTTGGCGCTGATTAATATGTGTAAAATGTATCAACATAACCATCACTCAGGGATATTCTCCAACTAAAGACACTGAAGAAGATGAATCTGGATGCAATCATCCAGGAGGAAATTGATCATGCACCAAAATTTTAGGCATCCTTTAGTCTCAAGAGACTATAAAGTTTCCATGCAATCATGCATGAGGAAATTGATCACATACCAAAATGTTAGGCATCCTTTAGTCTCAAGAGACTGTGGTAATGTGCTCTCTGTGGAGGACTTTGAACAGTGTCTAGTGTGGCTGAGAAGGTCAATTCGCTCTGTGGAGGACTTTGACCAGTGTCTAGTGTGGCTGAGAAGGTCAATTCAAGAGTGGCAATCCCTTCCAAACTGAAGACAAATACAATCTGGCCCCTGTCTAGCTACCTGATTTGGCTTCTTTCGTGACTGCCCCTTTGCCTCAGCCTGCTGGACAAGGGTCTCTTCAAATTGGGAGAGGCCGTGATGCAACGCCTGCCTCCAGGCTGAACACTCAGATGTCAGGGTTTCCCATCTGTTGAGGTCTATTCCTAAGGCCTTCAGATCTCACTTGCAGATCTCCTTGTATCACAGCTGTGGTCTCCCTCTGAGGCGATTTCCCTACACTAATTCTTCATACAGGAGATCTTTTGGAATCCAACCATCAGCCATTCTCACAACACCAAAATAAGACATGCTTATAAACTTAAATGCAAAAGTAGGGGACAAAGCAGAACTAAATGTGGTGGGGGAAATTGGTCCAGGAGACAGAATTGAAGTAGGAAAATGACTCTTAGAGTTCTGTGAAGCCAGCAAACGGTTTATTGCAAACACATTCTTCAAGCAACCAAACAGACAGCTGTACTTATAAGCACCACAAAATGATTGATACAGTCAATATAAAAATCAAATAGGCTGCATAATTGGAAGGTGGAGAAGCTGTATGCTCTCTGCCAAAACAATTCCTGTTGTAAAAAGATGATGGAAGAAGCACTTAAAATTGTAAAGAATGGATGGGAAACGAAAGTGAAAGGTGACAGGGCCAGAAATTTGAAAGAAGTTTTCCAGTGACTGTCACATAGAGGCAAAAAAAAGCCTATTAAAACAACAAGCCCAGAATGGTGAAGTGAAATGAAAGCTGCTCAGAAAGCACTGGGAAGAACAGTTTTTCAATGACTGTCACATAGAGGCAAAATAAACCCTATTAAAACAACAAGCACAGAATGGTAAAGTGAAATGATAGCTGCTCAGAAAGCACTGGGAAGAAATAAATCGCTTGAGGTAGATGGAATAATAATAGAACTATCTCACGTACAGAGACTAAAACTGTCAAAATGCTAACAATAATGTGCCAACAACTAGGGAAAACAAAACAATTACCCACAGACTGGGAACATTCTATTTACACCCCAGTCTCTAGGAAATGAGATGGCAAGGAGTGCAGTAACTTAAGGACCATTGCTTTAAATTCTCATACAAGCAAAATGATGCTCAAGGTGTTGCTACAAAGATTTTAACAGATTGAGAAATATCTAATGTTCAAGCTGGATTCCAAAAAGGAAGAGGCATTCAA